ACCAAATGGTGCACAGAACGACTATTTGACGCATTTTGTAAAAAGGCAAAAACTTAGCTATTAACATTCTAATACCATTCGATAGGTAATTAAAAATTTTATTTCCTGGTAAGTTAAAAAACATGAGGTTGTATTTAAATTAATCAAGTTAGAGCCACTTAAAGTTCTTATTTGATTAGTTTAAATTTGTGGACACCCTGTATAACATGGTAAGTTTATTATCATTGGGATATCAAATATTATATCTTGTTACACTTCACTATAAATTACGCTTACATAACTTAAATACTTCTAAAGTATTTGACACGTGAAAATTATATCAGATTTTGATTAAATTCCTATTATTTAAAAAACCTTAAGATTTAGGTATTATAAACCTTATTAAAACAGACACTTATTTTGTTCAGCGAATCCCAAAATGCAATAATATACAGGACATTCCATTTTAAAAAACGCAACTTTGATACCTTTAGAGCCTTTGGGACACCCTGTACGTTACAAAAATATTTTTAAAATGTGCGCTCGGTAGGCGTCTGTGGATTCATAAAATAATACTTTTTAAAAATCAAACGGCTTAGCCGCAAACTTCCGTGCCGTATAGCGTGAATAACCCTGTATATACCGGGTCCTAAATATATATAAATATAGCAGGTCGATATACAATACAATACAAGGTAATCACTTTGTATTGTATATCGACGACTGAGCTTACGAAGAAAGTAAATTATCCTGATTCCTCGGAAGTTGTTGTTTGGAGGTGCGTAGGGGCTATAGAAAAATTGGTAAAAAAATAATCCTGACAAAAAAGGAAATAAAAAATGTTACAACATTGTATCTGATCCCACTTGCAGTTAAGGCTTTTCCCATTAACTGACTTAAATGCAAGAAATAAAATTCTAGATGCACACTCTTAAACGAAGAAACAGTTCTCGATTGATACAACGCTTATACAAAAATGATCACAATCGTCAACTTTAGTGTGGAAACTCGAATAATTTGAGTATTCGAATATTCGAAAAGCGAATAATTATGTGTAGTCATAACTCGAATATTCGAATAATCGAATATTTGAATATTCGAATACTCGAATGTTCGAATATCTGTATATTCGGGTACGAGTGATTCGAAGACTCGAATACTCGAATAATCGAATACTCGAATACACCAACATTATAAAACTCACAAGGTGCAAATATCTTTATATGCACTTTGTATACTTTTATAAAATAAATTATTCATATTCTACAAGCATTTAAACATATACCGATATATTTGCAAGCAAATGAAAATAATCATATTTACTTTGCTGCAAATGAATATAAAATTACGTCTCTGTGTTCTGGTGATTCGCGTTATCAACTTTTGCGCGGTGTTACAATTAATGTGCCGACAAAGGCACTTTTTTATCCGTTGCGGCTAGTTGCCAAAAATGATATGAGATAACGATTTTTCTTCTTGGAAAACAGTGAACGGAAAGCGAGCACTCGAATATCTAACGAATATTCGAATACTCGAGTATTCAAATACTCGAATATTCGAATACTCGAATACTCGAATATTCGAATATTCGAATACTTGATTATTCAAATATTCGTTAGATATTCGAGTATTCGAATAATTTTACTATTCGAATAAACCATTAAACGAATATTTGAATTTCAGATTTTTTAAAATTTCCACTCCTATTATTTAGCCCCTAAAACTCTGAAAGTACCCCCCCGAAAAATTTAATTTGGAAGTGGAATGGAGGGCCCATTTGCTTCAAGAACCACAACCATCGATGGTACTATTTGGGAGAAAGTTTTTTTTGCTGGTGAGCCAACTTTTACTTGCCGTGAAGTTTTTAACTGACGAAATAGTCATCTGTGGAGCGCTGGGAATCCTCATTCTGTGAAAACCAGACATTTCCAACATCAATTTAAGAATAATGTTTGGTGCGGTGTTATTGGAATTTTTTGATTGACCATTCGACCTTGCTGAATTTAGCCGAGTTGCTTGAAGATGTTCCTACTACTACTATTTGAACATATTTATTTTCAGCTAAGAGATGTTCCACTTCATTGAAGGATATAAATGTGGTTTACGCAAGATGGAGCTCCACCACATTTTTCGCGGCTGGTGCAACTTTTCCAAATGGTTGGATTGGCCATGGGAGCGTTATTGCTCGGCCACCCACCAGACGTACGGATTTCAATCCTGTGGAATATTCAATTTGGTTTCAAATGAAACATACAGTTTACAAAGATTCTATTGGTTCGCGTGAAGAATTGCGGCAAAAATACCACGAAATCAATGCCAATCCCAATATGTTGTTCCACACTCGAAAATCTCTCACAAATTGTTGTGAACTTTAAGTAATTATTATAAATTTTACGTGTTTTTGTCATATTTTGCACATTTTTAGCTTCGTGTGTTCGTGTGCAACCTAGCGTTCGTTGAACCAATTTATCTCAAAAACAGGCCAAAATATCGATATGAAGCAAGAATATTTAATTTACGTCGAAATGATTGATTGCTTTTGTAGATTTTGAACTGAATATGATGTTACGATGTTATTAAAGAAACACGCATCATATTCGTCATATAAAAAAAAACCTATCGTCAAAAAATTTCAGATTCCTTGCCCATCTTATTTCAGACTCAGTGGCATATGGCACGAACTTAAATTATAACTTTTAACACTCGGTATTTTTTAATACAAGGCATCCTTGCGCTAATGGGCACCATTTCACATGTAATATATCCAGTTTGCAGACTTCCCATTGTTAATGAATAACCCTGCATATGAACATGAAAAATACATACAGGATGTCCCAGTTTCATGATCAGAATTTCAGGAATCGTCAGAAAAAGGTATTTCAATATAAGTTGGTCATATGAACATAGGACTGTTTTCTTTTAATTTTTTTTTTCATTTTTAAAATCCCAACTGTCCAAGCCATTAAAACCAAATTTGACGTAAAGTACATTAAAAAATAATTATCGGGGGTAATTGCACAAGTGCTTCAAAATTACCGATAATTTTGCATGAAAGCTTGTTGTCTAAAAACTGCATGAGTTTATTTTCATATTGTGGCGAAAAAGCGCGACTCCGAAGGAGGAGGGCTTTTACGTTCTAATTTGAAAATGAACGAATGCAGTTTTTACAAGACAACAAGCTCGAATGCAAAATTATCTGTTTATTTTGATGCACGAGTGTAATTTTTATGAATATTTCCTGAGTAAACAAAGTAAATGTGGATTCATTTGATTTCTATTATATTTTATTACACTGTTAATTTTATTACTTATGTTTATTAAATATAATTTGAATATCTTAGGTATGTCAAGAAGACATTTTATGTCTAATTCAACATGAAAAGACACCTGTCAAATATTTTTCGTAAACAATGCAATTATCGTTGAGTGATAATTGCACACTGTGCAATTACCGCT